CCGGGGCCGGGCTGAGTGTCGTCCTGTCCCGTCACAGCCCTCCGGACCTGCTCCATCCTTCCTCATCCCATCCCGTTGCATCCTGTCCCATCACATCCCGTCTTGTCCCGTGCTATCCCACCCCATCCAGTCTCATCCCGTGCTATCCTGCCCGTCAAATCGCTTCTCATCCCATCCCGTTGCATCCTGTCCCATCACGTCCCGTCTTGTCCCGTGCTATCCCACCCCATCCAGTCTCATCCCGTGCTATCCTGCCCGTCACATCGCTTCTCATCCCATCCCGTTGCATCCTGTCCCATCACATCCCATCTTGTCCCGTGCTTTCCCACCCCATCCAGTCTCACCCCGTGCTATCCTGCCCGTCACATCGCTTCTCGTCCCGTCCCGTTGCATCCCAGCCCACCTCATCCCACGCCATGCAGTCTCATCCCGTCCTATCCTGTTCCATTCCGTCCCATCCTGCATCGCCATGGGCACCATTGGAGCAGCAAAGCTCCAGAGAGCCCCAATATTCCTGGGATCCCAGACAGGCAGCTTTCCATGCCGTTGCTCCCAGAATCCCAGCCTGGCACTGCCCTGCACAGGTCAATGCGCGCAGGGGATGGTGAGGCACCATTCCCCAAGACTGTAGGACAGACTAACCTCCACTTCCAGATTGGATGGATGGAGAAAAGCCAGGGAATGCACACACATGCATGCACGCACATGCACATGCATGCACATGCATGCACACACACGTGCATGCACGCGCATGCACATGCATGCACATGGGGGCTGCAACACAGCTACATGCAATGCACATGCGTAGGTGCCCTGAGCCACTGAGCGGGGACATGAAAAGCCGAGGAAATAAATGAAAAGGAGGAAAAAGCTCTTTTTGGCCTCTCTTCCCATGGCGAGTTGCGAGGGTGTGGGAAAGCCATGATGGGAGGGGATGGAGTGGCGAGGAGGAGGGAGCCAGGGAGGGACACGAGGCCGAAGGCTTTGCATGGCCCAGCCGGAATGGCAGGGGCTGCGGCTGCTCCCGCTGCTGCTTCCCGCTTCCCGCTGCCATTGGCCATGCGCTTCCCGTGGTGCCGTGGAGCTGTGGGGAACCATGGGTGCCATGAGTGCCGTGAGCCGGGCAGGGATGAATCCAGCTTGGAAAAGTGCCCTGCCAGGAATTCATTAACACCCAAAGCGAGCAAAAGCGAGCAAAACCCGAACTATTAAAGCCATGGAGCATAGCGCGGAGTGACTGTCCCTGCTGCAGAGCCCGCCCAAGGCCATGCCAGAACAAAGAGGGGGGAAAATAAAAAAGAAGGATCACTCGGAGCAGCATCCAGGCGCCCGCGCCGCCTTGGCAAGCACTCGCCGAGATGATGCACGAGCTGTGAATTATGCTGATTTTCTCCCCCCACCCCTGCTCTTGCCTGCGTGCAGCAAACATAAGCAAAAAAATAAAAAATAAAAAGCGAAGCGAGCGGGAGCGCGCACAGGAAAGAGGGAAAAAAAACCCTGAGCAGATTGGATTTTAGATGCAGGGAGGAAGCAACATGGCTGGAAYGCCGTGGAGGAGGCTCAGCCGCGGCCCTGCCGCCGCTGCCCGCGTCCCGGCACCGGCGCCGTCCCCTTCCCGGGTCACCGGCCTCGGTGCCGCTGGGCGCGTGGGGCCTGGTGCTTCGTTGGGAAGGGGCAGGAAATGCTGGGAATGCAGGGGCCACGGGCTGGACGTGGGCATCAGCGCTGCAAACTYGTGACTGAAGTGAAGGGAGCACCAAAAAAAAAAAAATCTCCATTGGTTTTAGGGAAAAGTGTCATCTGCTGGGAGGGAAACAGAGCTCATCTGGCTCTTTGCACAACCAGGAGGTGTGAAGAGTATCTGTGGACCCGTGTGCCTGGCTCGGCCAGGGTGCACGGCCAGGGCCCTGTCAGGAAGCCCTATCGGGTCCCCTCTTGTCCATCAAACCCATATATATGCAGCCCTGYGAGGGTGTCCACGTGCATGCGGCCTGCAAGGAATGGACATTAGTGTTTGTGTGCAGCCCTGCAGGGAAAGAACATCTGTGTGTGTGCGGTTGTGCAAGGAAAGGACATCTGCGTGCATGTAACACTGCAAGGAAAGGACATCCGTGTGCATGCAGTTCTGCAAGGAAAGGACATCTGTGTGCATGCAGTTCTGCAAGGGACATCCGTATGCATGCAGTCTGCAATGAAAGGACTTCGGTGTGCATGCAGTTCTGCAAGGAGAGGACATCTGTGTGCATGCAACCCTGCAAGGATGCCCATGTGCTCGGGACACCCTCTTTGCAGCTCACCACCGGCCTGCACCCCTGCAAGGACATCCTGGCACGCACACCCTCCTCTTCCTCGTCTCACACCCGACAGCTCCTGGCTCCGAGTGGGCAGCTCTCCCCAGGGTCAATTAGGAGCTGCAAATGAGAACCTAAAAGTGAAGCAATTATCCCTGCTCCGATACTTTCCAATTAAAGGAGCTGTCACCCTTATTAAGAGCCCATTAAGTCTCCGTCGTAAGGCACCATCAAGGGTACAAGTGCCAAAAATGAGCTTGGGCCGTGCAGCAAGGAGAAGCGGTGCTGCATTGGTGCTTGCACCCACCTGCAAGAACGGTCTCATCCCTGAACCGTGGCCGTCATGCACCATGCAGCACCACGCACCATGCAGCACTCTGCACCATGCAGCACTGCGCACTGTGCAGCCCCATGGACTGTCGGCAGCATCCCGTTAGCAGCCGCTCATTATGCATGCTGCTTGGAGTGCTCTGCATCAGCTTAATTAACGAGGCAAGAGAGAGGGGACCTCGGAGGAAATCTTAATTATATTGTGCGTCTCGCCCTGAGTGGCACCTGAGCCATCCCAGCTCCACRCTCAGGTTCATTAGCGATGGATCGTGACGCATCAGCCCTGCAAGGCTGGTGGGAACCCGGGGCAGCCCGGGAAATCCAAGTTGCTTTATTGCTGAGCAAGAATTTCAGTTTTTGGGRAAAAGGGAGCTTTTACTGAATCAGAGGTGCCACCCATTGCGGTTCAGACCTGGGCTCAGCAACTGCCAGGGCAGATGAAGAGAAAATCCCCGCTAGGGTTAAAGCGGAGCTGGGATGTGCTGGGAAGCTGGGCCCGGAACATCCCTGAATGCCCTGTGGGCGCTGCCCGATGCTGGAGCTCAGGAAAAGCCGCTTCTCCCGCCGGCGCCTCCGATGCTCCCAGATCAAAGCTCAGCGTCTCCCTCTAACGACACCGGAGCCGCGGTTTCCCTCTCCAGCATCTCTTCCATCCCGGAGGTTTCCGAGCGCCGTCGAGGCCATCGCTGCTGCAGAAGTGGCTTTTATTTTTTCACCCGGTTGCTTTCTTTCCACTTTTACAACTCCGGCGCTGCTGGGACATGCAGCAGCCGTGTGAAGAGCCGATTTTGATGCCTTTCTGACAAGGTCAGCACCGGCACAGAGGGAAACGCGGCATCTCCGTGATCCATGTCCCCGCACAGGAGGGGACAGTCCCTCCTTGGGGACAACAGCGGTGGCCCCAAAAGGCCCCGATTGCAATCACGCTTTTTGTGAGCCCCATGCACATGATTCTTCCCAGCATCATTCCAATTTTCCACCCTTTTGGGAATGTTTTCCAGGGAGTAGCCTCCTGGCRAGAGACTGGGACAGGACCTGGATTGCGCTGGGCTCTCTCTGGTCTGATGGGATCAGGTTGGCCCCAGAGGCTGGAGAGTGAAGGGCCAATTCCCAGGAGCATCCCGGGCTCCTGCCAGCTCCCATTTCCGCCTCGCCGTGGTCCAGCTCATCCCGGAACTCTGCAGTGTGGATGTGCTGCTGTGCGGGGTCATTGCAGGTACTCAGGGGCTCCCTCCGACTGCATCCCTGGATCCCGCGCATCCCTGGAATCCTGCGCATCCCTGGATCCCGCTGCATTAGTACGAGCCGAGGGAGGCCCCMGCCCACACCCATGCACTGCTGGGAAGCAGAGGGAGCACCCAGGGCATTCCCCATTCCCGTGGTTCGCTCCAAGCCCCACTCAGCCCTCTGGGGCTCCTTTCCCTACAGCTGCTCCATGCCCAGATGCCCCTCTCCCATCTCAGCAAGGTCTTTCCTTGCAATGCTTCCCCATTTCCCTTTTCCAGCATCCATCTGGGCAAGGTACGGCACCAGAGGCAGTTTCAAAGCACGGCAAGAGGAAGAAGAAGAGGAAAAAATTAAAAAAATAAAATAAAATAACAGTCTCTTGCTTTATTAACAGCAAAGGAGACAGGCTGTGGGAGCTGGCACCTGGCACCTGCTTCCGAGGAAGCAGAGGCCCCGCAGAGGTTTCCTCTGGAGCACTGGGAGCATCCCGGTGCGAGCTCTGCCCTCGCTCCCGGAATCGCTCAGCCCCTGGCAAAGGGAGCGCCCGGAGCGCGCCGGAGGGCTCATAAACACCCATGGGGGCTGGAGGAGGGAGCTGCAACGGGAAGGGAGCTCGAGGCGCAAGGACACRGGGATATTGCACCAAGGAAGCCTCGTGTGGGCGCCGCGGGGAGGGAGGGCGCGCCAAGGACACGGTGGCACCAGGTTCTTGTCTCATCCCCAAAGTGAGTCCCGGCTCTCCGACCCGGCCCGGCTTCCAGCTCTTCTCCCCGCGGGGGTCATCTCATTTGCTCCTGATAACGTTATCTCCGAGGACGCTGGAAGACAGCCCAGGCTGGAGGGAAACCTAAAGCTCCCTAAAGCAGCCGGGAGGTCTCGGAGGTCGCTCRTGTGCATCCGATGTCACCTTGCGTTGCTCGTCACTCCATGTGCTGCTGGTCCCTCTCGGCAGGCTCTTTCCCTGCAAACAGTCAAGCTCCCGTGGGGATAAATTTGCCCAGCCTGGCGGCCGTTTTCCTGCTTTTCCTCCAGCTGGGAGCCCTCTCTGTGGAAGGAGGCATCCCGCCTCCGCACAGAAACGGAGTTATGGGAAAGAGAGGGAAGGAGAAGAGCCCCGGCGCGCTGGGCTCAGGCGCTTCGTGTTCCCTATCCGCAGCGTGCAGTCCGTCCCAGAGGTGCTCGGTTCACAGTGTTGGTCCATCCCGCCAGAGGGATCGGCTAGGAGACGTTCCCGAAAGAAGCTGCACRGAGGAGCAGAGAAAGCCGTGAGCAAACGGCTGCATCCGGGCCCTGCCGCCACCCACCTCCCTGTCCTCGCATCCCACCTCCTCGCTGCAAACGGCCACCAACCCGCTCGGTGCTCCGCGCGCTATCCCCGCGTCCCCATGCCCTGGTGACGTCCCAGCCACGAGCACCACGGGCTGCAATTGCACGAGCGACGCCCCGGGTGCAAGGGGTCGTCCCCAGGCTGCAGGAGGGGACGCAGCCTCCGGCCGCCCCTACCTTGGCTGAGCAGCTGCAGGTTTCGCACCTCCTCGCGCACCTGCAGCTGCAGGACCTGCTGCAGGAGCTCCTGCCGCTGCGCCTCGTGCGCGATGCCCATGCGCTGCAGCTTCTCCGCGTTCAGCCGCAGCAGCGCCCGACCTGCGGGGACGCTGCGGCTCAGGAGCGAGCGGCGTGGGCACCCAATCCCACTCCCCTTCCTTTCCCGGGAGCGAGGAAGCCTGGAGGGATGCAATCCCAAACTGGCCCGTGGCAGCACCTCCCCACGGGGATCCCAATGGGCACCGCGTCCTCGTCACCCTCCAGACACGTCCCGCTGCCACGTGCACAGCTACGGATGTGCTCGTGCCACCTTAATGGGCCACCCTGGGKTCCAAACGTGGGCGCTTTGCTGGTGATCACGTAGGCTGCCCCYGCGGGCGGGCGCTTTTCCATTTCTCCGCTCTGCCTCCCGCATCAGGACATATTTCCCCACGTGCCCCATCTGCGCCGGGGTAGGCTGGCAGCTCGGCGGGGAAAYGCGGGGTACCCATCAGAAAGCATTAGCGTCGCCGCCGCCGTGGAGCCACTCTCCTCCAGTCCGGGGGCTATTAAAAAGGGGGATTTACATCCCGCTTTTGTCCTTGTTTCCTGGCCTATGTTTGCTAATGCTTCCTCTCTTTGCGGGCTGGCATTAGCGCCGTAGCTTCGCTCCGGGCGCGCTGGATGCTCCGCTGCTGCGGCCCCGTGCGGACGATGAGCCCGTGGCCACCGCGCAGTCTGTGCCCTCCTTTCCCAGCTCGGGCCACCAAGGCGCCGACGTGCCCGGAGGCGAATGCAGCAGCTCCCGCTTAGCTCTGCATCCCGTTGCTTTGGGGATCAGGCAGCCCCTGGGGTAGGTTTTGGGGTGACCTGCTTCATTTGGGCACCAGCAGAGCCCGTAGYGGTGGCCTGGGTTAAGCAATGGGGGCCCCGCAGCAGCTGGACAGATGTGCAGCTGCGTTGCACATCTGTCCCAGCTGCAGAAGTGTCAGAAAAGCTATAGAAACATCCTCATTGCTCATATCGAAACGAAGGGGAAACAAGGTTAAAATATCCGCAAAACTTCTATTATCAGGTTGAACCCTGGGAAGATGGGGCCACTTTGAGCACTGCAAGCGGGATTTGAATTGGGGATTTGAGATGATTTGAAATCCAAAGTCCAGATTTCTTGCCTGCTGCTGGCCCCTGTGAGGCTCCAGGGAGCCTGTGGAGGCTTTTGGACGGGAGCGGCTCTGAGATCCTGCTGTGGGATGGGAGCAGCTCTGGGATCCTGCTGCGGGACAGGAGCAGCTCTGGGATCCTGCTGCGGGACAGGAGCAGCTCTGGGGTCCTGCTGCTGGACGGGAGCAGCTCCGGGATCCTGCTCCTTTTGCCCCCATCCCAGCACCGCGGCTGGGCTCGGAGGAGCCCGGAGCAGCCCGGGGCGCCGCCGCCTGCCCGGCCCGCTGCCTCGCCRGGCTAAACGCTCCTGACAGCAGATCCCGCTCCTCCTTCCCCGCTCCTCCTGTGCTGCTGCCGGGCAGGGAGCCTGCGCGCAGGGGGTTGGGTCCGCGCCGCTACCTTGGCTGCCACCGGGCCCCTGGTCCCGGCTGCGGGGACGGACCCCGAAGGAATGGCCAAATCACCAAAATGCAGAAAAGAAGCTCCTGGGGCCTCTCTAGCCCCAAATCCTAAACCATTTAATTCCTAAARCATCTGCCTGGATGCCACCTTGTGCCACGTGCCCTAGGAGCAGGGGAGTTGGACTAGATGATCTCTAGAGCTCCCTTCCAACCTCAACCATTCCGGGATTCTGGGATTCAGAGCTGCTGGAGCTGGGGGATCCTCACATCCTTGCTCGCTCCTGCACCGGGAAAACCCATTTTTCCCAAGCTAGGATGCATGATCCCCATGGATGCAAAACCTCCGGCTTCGGATCCAGCATCGGATCCTGCTCGGTCTTGCAGCAAGGAAAGGAGCYGCTGTCTCATGGGTGTCAGGGTGCGTGGCAGCACCCCGGGGACCCCCTGGTGCCRTACCTGTGATGGCGTGGTGGGCGAAGGCCTCCACGTAGACGAGATAGTTGTGCGGGCAGTGCTTCTTGAGCCACTTGCACACGTCCTGCTGGCTCCAGAGCACCACGGGCTTGCTGAGGCTGCCCAGCGTGGGGCTCGTGTGGTAGATGCCATAGTGCTCGCACGCCCGGCCCTGCGGAGCGGGCACAGAGAGAGCCGAGGGCATTAACGTCCCCGGCAGCCCCAGGATGAATCACCCGGTGTGGGGACCGCGAGCGCGGGGCCGCCGCGGCCACCGGCCCTTGGTGGCACGTGGGGAGCAGTGGATGTCCCCCCGCCGGCTGTTGGAGTTCTGTTTTCCTGCCCGTTTTGCAGCGGTTCTGGCTGTGCAAGGAGGGGCGGCTGCACCGGAGCGGTCCCAGCCCGGAGCGAAGGCGCCTCGTGCCATAACAGCCCCGAGGGCCGAGGCCTCTTCCCCCCGGGAAGCGCCCAGCCAGCAGGGCACCCCCCAACTAGGAAACRAGGCTGGGGAAGGCAGGAATCCTCATGTTCCCGCTTTCCAGCATGCAGGACGGGGGGGTCAGGCAGGATCCTCCGCACGAGCACTGCTGGCGCTGCCCCGAGCGCCCGGACCGCTGAGGCTGAAGCTTGGAGCAGCCACCAGCCCCAGGATGCCAGGGTCGACTTCGGCCAGCGAACATTGGCTAATTAAGCGTGCCTGACGGAGGAGTGGGGATAATTAGCGCAATGGGAACTCCGGGCATCCTGCGGTTCCCGGGATGACTGACGTGGCCCTGAYGGACGCCAAGCACGAGGGCAGCCGGGACCTGTGCAGCTGACCAGGGCAGCGCCCAGAGTGCTGGCACCCTGGGAATGCCGCAGGGACCATCCCTGGAGCCACATTCCCATCGGGATCCGGCTCTGGTTTCCYGCTCGGCTGAGCGCGCTGGGGACAGCCGCGCTGCTCACTCTGCATCTCCCAACAAGCCATGACGGGAGGATGAGGAGCGGGACCTGCCGCCCAGCGATCACTGCAGCACCGAGCGGGACCCGCTGCCACCGAGCGCCAGGACCCGCGCGAGAGGCGACCCGGCAYGTTCCCCGTGCGGGTGCCCGGAGCTCATGGCACAAAGCAGCAAAGCGCCCGCGGCGCCGCGCCGCTCACCGGTGCCGCCAGAGCCCGGGCGGCCGCGCGGGGCCCTCCGGAGCGGGCAGAGCCGGCGGCTCCCGCGGGAAGCCGGTGCGAGCGCCCGCGGCGGCGGCCGGGGCGCGGGGAGGTGTAAGGAATCAAGGGCTCGTTTTCCAGCTGGCTGAGCCGAGCTGTCTCTCCGATAAACTCTCGGCYGGGAATAGCGAGCGCCGGCACCGGGGGAAAGCGGGCGGGAGGGCTCCAGCTCCGCGGCAGCTCCTGGATCTGTGGGAGCCCCTCTGGGCTGCCTGGATCCCACCGTGGGTCCCGTCCCCCGTTTCCCAATCCGCCGGCACCCCCAGGAACGCGGGAGGATGCAGGTTTGTGCAGGCAGCTGGAGCGCACAGGCAGCCTCGGGCTCATCATCGAGGCACCCTAATGCCACCGAGCACAGGGTTTACGGAGGGGATGCCACGATCCCAGCCGCCCCGGGGGCTTTGTCAGCATCAGGAGGGCTCGAACCCGCAGGGGACGGTACCTGGGAGCCCTCGGTGCCCGGCTGCCGCAGGAGCTTGACGGCGCGGGCGCCCTCGGCGCGCTGGCTCCGGCCGTCGTGCCACGTGAGGCTGCTGCCCGCGCCGCGCTGCCGCCGGTAGCTGAGGTTCTCGGCCGACACCGTGTGCTCCAGGAGGCTGCGGCAGAAGCTGAGGCGGGCGGCTGCCCGGGAAGGGCCGTGAGGGGCGGGCGGCCGCGCGGATGCGGCGCGGGACCCCCGGGAAAGCGGGAACCCCCYGGGGATGCCCCCAAATCACCGGGGATGGGGCTGTCCCCATTGGGGACCCCTGTTTGTAGGGGCTGGATAACACCCGGCACCACACGATGGAGGCGAGAGGGACCTGGACACCCTCCCTCCTCCGGCCAAACGTGACTGGAGGTGAGTGAGGAGCCAGAGCGAAGGGCAAAGGAGGAGGGATGCTCCGTGCCATGCTGCTCCGTGCCCTGCTCCTGCATTCCCAGCTCTGCTCCCACATCCCTGGCTCTGCTCCTGAATCCCTGGTTCTGCTCCSGTGTCGCTGGCTGCATTCCCACGGGGCTGCACACAAGGGCCCCCCATCCCCATCCCCACATCCYGCCCGTGCCCGGCCCCGCTCACCTGGCTCTGCGGGGCCGCGCGCGCCGGGCACGGCCGGGACGCAGCACAGGGCCGGGCGGCCGGGCTGCATGGCACGGCACGGCCGGGCTGCACGCGCCGCGGGGACGCGGGGGACGCGGCGCCGCTCTCACCCGCCTGCCTCCATCCCCGCCGCCCCGCGCGCCGCTCCCGAGCGGCTCCTCCGGCACCGCATCCGCCTGACGGTCCCCGCAGAGAGGGGGGGACAGTCCCCGCGCAGCCCCTGCCGGTGCCCCCGGGGCCACCACCACCTTTAAAAGGCCTTAATCCCCCGCGCCGCCGGATCCAGGGAGCCGCCTGGCGCTTTCCCAGCTGCCTTCCTCCTAATCCCGACGGGCAGCGGGGCCAGGGGACGCGGCGAGGCCAGATGGCAGCGGGAGCGGCGGGGAGCTCGGCGGGTGCTGTGCGCGGAGGGACCCGGCAGGGACCCCGCGTGGAGCCGCGGAAACCGCGCGTGGCAGGAACAGGGTCACCGGTGGCTTGGGGCGTTCGGGAAGCAGAAGGCGCCGGGAAAGTAGAGGAGGGAGCGCGGGAGCTGCGTGGCACCTGCGCTGCCGGGGAGGCCGGGCCACGGAGCAATGGGGCACGGAGCAATGGGCACCGTGCAGCAGGACATGGTGCAATGGGGTACGGAGCAATGGGGCACGGAGCAATGGGCACCGTGCAGCAGGACACGGTGCAATAGGGCACGGAGCAATGGGCACCGTGCAGCAGGACAGGGTGCAATGGGGTACGGAGCAATGGGGCATGGAGCAATGGGCACCGTGCAGCAGGACACGGTGCAATAGGGCACRGAGCAATGGGCACCGTGCAGCAGGACAGGGTGCAATGGGGTACGGAGCAATGGGCACCGTGCAGCAGGACAGGGTGCAATGGGGCACGGAGCAATGGGCACCGTGCAGCAGGACAGGGTGCAATGGGGTACGGAGCAATGGGGCATGGAGCAATGGGGTAATGTGCAGCAGGACATGGTGCAATGGGGCACGGAGCAATGGGCACCGTGCAGCAGGACACAGTGCAATGGGGCACGGTGCAGTGTGGCATGGAGCAGTGGATCACCATGCAATGGGACACGGTGCAATGGGGCACGGAGCAATGGGGTACGGAGCAATGGGGACCATGCAGCAGGACATGGTGCAAAGGGGCACGGTGCAGTGTGGCATGGAGCAGTGGATCACCATGCAGCGGGACATGGTGCAATGGGGCACAGTGCAATGGGGCCTGGTGCCATGGTGTATTGGAGCAGGGTACCAGGGCACATGCACAGCGGGGCACGGTTCAGCCCCCAGCTCCTGCCAGAGAGGTGGCAGCGGCATTTGGGGTCCTGCTCCAGGGCAGTGGAGGGGACAGGCTGCCAGCAGCCACCCCAAGTGCTGGGCATGGGGCAGGGGGCACGAAGGGGCTGGAGGAGCCCCTAGCTGCCTGGCCAGAGCCAGAGGAGCAGGGAACRGAAGGGAGGAATCCCAGCTCCAGGAAACATCAGGCAGCACCTGGCAGAGCTGCTTCCGAAGGAGCAAATGGAGCTGCCGCTTCACCAGGCTCCTGATGTCCCCAAGGGAAAGGGACATTTAGCACCAAATGGGGCAAGAGATGTGCCTGCAGGCAGGCCGAGGGAGCCACAGTGGCATTCCCAGGAATCGGGYGCCCTTTTAATCCCCAAGGAAGGTAAGGATGGGGGAAATAAGGTCAGATCTGGTCAAGGATGCCCAGGTTGGAGCATCCGTCCCAGCACAGCACAGCTCTGGGATGGACTCGCCCGGCTTTTGTCACCTTGCTGTCCGTTCCTCTGTCCCTGCCGCCCGCTTCCGCATTCCCGCCCGCTCGGATGCAGCCCTGGGACCTGCCCGGGGCTCTGAGGCTTGCGGGATGCAGAGCCGTGGCTGTAATATCCTATGGAGCACGGACGGCCTGAGCMGTGCCCGGAGACCCGCCGGCCCTGGGGAGACCTGGACGCGCTTGGAAGGAGCCTGGATGCTGCCGAGCTCAGCAAACCCTCCCGGGGCAAGTTTGGCCGCGGCCCCTGCACCAGCGCAGCGTTTTCCGCCTTCTTGTTTTAATGCTCCGCTCGTGAAGGTTAAACCAAGGCGGCGGAGCTCAGGCCTGCGGCCGCCGCTTCCTCAGGAGGAAGGAGGTGGGAAGGGAACAAAGGCACATGCCGTCCGGATGCCTGCACGGAGCCGGGACGTGGAGCCGCACGGGGCTACATCCGTGCCCATGAGCAGAGCGGGTCGGGGGGCYCCGGGCGCCCCTTTGCAGCTGGACTGGGGGCGACGGGCGCCGCGGGTGGGAGGGCAGAGCCCTTGGGTGCCGCTCGCCCTCCTTGTCCCCGCGTTTGGGGGTTTGCAGCGCGGAGCCCTCCGGCGTCGCCGGCGGGACCCCGAGCACCCGAGGAGGAGGCACCCGTGGGAAGTGTGAGTGGGCTCCGTATGGATGCTCCGGACAGGGCCGGGCACGGACACCCCAGCCCACCGCCAGCCAGGGTGCTGTCCCACTCCGCTGCCCCCGGCCTGCCCGGAGCTGCATCCCGCGCTCCGGCCGAGCATCCACGGAGCTTCAGCCGCATCCCTGGAGCCAGGGGTGCAGGTGCAGGCAGCCCCCCRGGACAGAGCGGGAAGCAGGGGGGATAGAGGAGGGCATGGGGTGGATGCAGGAGCTGATCCCTGGGATGCAGGGGGGCAGATCCCCAGGATGGAGGGGGCAGCAGGGGGGATGGAGGGAGGCAGACCCCAGGGATGGAGGGAGCAGCAGGGGGGGTGCAAGAGGATGGACCCCGGGATGGAGGGGGCAGCATGTGGGGGAATGGAGGGGGTGCAAAGAGGGGTGCTGGCGGCAGAGCCATGGAATGGGGGGAGGCGGACCCTGGCATGCAGGGCGCTATGGGGGGATGCAGGGGGCCAGACCCGCAGCATTCCGGGGGGCTATAGGGGGTGCAAGAGGATGGATCCTGGCATGCAGGGGGCTATAGGGGGTGAAGGGGGCTGGACTTCGTCATGCAGGGAGCTCTGGGGGGGGGTGCAGGGGTCCAGACCCTGGCATGCAGGGGGCTATTGGAGGGTGCAGGGGGCTGGACCCCATCATGCAGGGGACTCTGG